ATACGGTCCGACATGCGCCAATATCGACAGGAACCGAGATCTTTGGGTTATAAACATACATTGTTAGTTTCATCAAAATCGGATAAATTTGTGACCTCTAGAGTGTCCACAACCTTGGTATTATTATGCATATATTTCTCCAGTTCAGCATCACAGGAAATCACCATCGTCTGCAGTGCTTTTATGATAAGGGGTTAAAAAAAACCCATAAAAACTTCAATGCTGAGTAATTTTACTAGTCTGAAATCGCTTAGAAAGCGTCTCCGACGATCTAGACCCCCAGGAGTCCTAGGACGGTAGCGCCCCCCCCCCCCCCCCCGCAATCAAGAATTGCTTCCGCCGGCCCTGAAATCACTGTCCAAAACTTTAGGGAAGACCCCCAGATTAAACGAAGGACTGTCATGTTGCTGTACTTGGGATAGATTTGATTGAACTGGAAGAATAAGCACACTCCCTCAAAAGTTCAAGTATCAGAAGCCAATCTAGCAATGGCCAGAGTGGGATTTCTCGGGCCATTGCTTGAGGAATATGGTGGACCGCTAGTCTACAAAATATTATTTACAGGGGAAGGCTCACCAGCAACTACAAATCAATACTTGTCATCACTTCAAATTTCGTCTATTGAATTTAAACTATAATGTGACTCATTGATAACAGGTATCATGTGTTACTGACACTTAAATGTAGTTCAAGATATCCTGTTTTAAAACACTGACGATCGTTAAGCTAACGTAACTTTGTAGTCTGAACGCAAAGGTGGGTCAAATAAACCCGTTTAAAAACACAAGCTCCACACCCTTTTTTTTTCGAGAAGGATTTTTCCTAAGCTATCTTTTTTTCCGTCGGAACGGATTGGCTTAGATTTGCCAACTTAATCTATCTAAGGGTAAACGCACTTCGTTACATTGTTGTGGATATTCGCGGTTTCATATGTGATATTCGGGTGCTAATTTACTAAAAACATTTGCTCCGGAATGTCAAAACAACTAAACTGATGTCTTTAAGTTAGTTTTTTTATTTTATTTATTTATTCACAGTATTTAAGGCCTCCAGCCCATAGTACATAAATTTTTACAACATATAAGAAGTGCGGTGAGTAAATGTGAGATAAATAACAGTAATAAATAATAATGGTAATAAAGACAATATGTATACATAATTTGTTGATATAATATAATAATAAATCAAAATAAGCATAACTATTTACAATTATCAATTTGTTTTCGGATAACATATGACTGATAAATAAACATAGCTAAATTTCGATAATTATTTTCGTCAGACATGACCCTAATAAAAATATCCCTATTTGTTTTATGTTGTCTCTCGTTCTCTATTTCTGGAAGTAATTTGGTTCTTAGATTATCATACAATTTACAATAAACAATAACATGTATTTCATCCTCTGTTTGTTTTAAATCATGCATTTCATCACAGTATTTACAGACTCTTTCAATTTTTGGTACATTCTTCCAGCGTCCTGTCTCTACAGCCAAATCATGGTTTGAACATCGGAAACGAGTTAAGGATTGTCGAAATTTAGTCACAGATACCTTGGATAAATAAGGTTCATAGTTAACATTGTGTTTAATCAAGCTATAATTTTGTAGTCTGGACGTCTCTTTAATATCACATGATAATTGTTGACGTGAGCAATCAATTAGCCTTTGCTTAAATGATGATAAAAACCCATTTACATCAAAAACATCCTGCTCTTGCCAAACGTAACCAAATCCATATTCATATAAAATATGCTTAATATTACTGGCCCAAGTTGACCTTCCAGCTAAATCTAAATTGTACAATAAGTCATAACAAGCTTTAGGATATCTGGAATTTGGTAAATATAGTAATTTTAACCAATACTTAAGACAATTATATATAGTATTTACATAGAGTGGTACTCGACCAGTTTCACCATATACTGCACAATTACATGTGTTAGAACTAACGTGTAATATAGATTTCAGAAACCTTAACTGCACCTTTTCTATCGATTCATATTTTCTAAAACCCCAAATCGCAGAAGCATATTCTAATATTGGTACGATCATTCGATCGAATAAAAATAATGAATTTTTAATACTAATATAGTTCTTTTTGATATAATATGTTAACATATTGGAGGCCTTCCTGGCCTGCTGTGCAAGGGTGTCTGTCGCAAGGGTCCAACATAGTTTTGAAGTGAAAAATATACCCAAATATTTATAGCCATTTACCGTCTCAATTTCTGTGCCATCGAGAAACCATTTCTCATACGACTTGACAATTCCACCTCGTCTAAACACGACGACCTTTGTTTTGCTTAAGTTAATTTGCATCCCATATTTCTTGCAAAATGTTTGGATGCAGTTTATTTGAGATTGTAATCTAGGAACAGTGTCCCCTACCACAGCAATATCATCTGCGTAAAGTAATGATAATATTTCTTTAATATCAGAGTTAATAAATATCCCATGACAATCAGACTCTTTAAGTTAGATTATACAGTGGACTCTGTCACATCCGACATCGTGCGGGATCGTTACAATAATTCGGATCACACAGCGTTTCGGAATACCGAGTTTTCTCCAAAACCGGAAATACTGTAACTTCGAAAACCGGAAGTATTTTTATATTGTAGCTTCGAATCACCAGAATGCTATTCCCTTTATAAATGATAAACTTTTCTGTACTTTCAAAATTTTATTATATTAAATAATTAACAATAACAATGCATGCGTACAATATATTCATAAAATCGTTTACATGTAATATCAATGCATGCGTACAATATATTTATAAATATCAATGCATGTAATCGTTTAAAGTAGTTTGCTTAGTTAAGATTACCGGAAGCATATCGTAAGGCGGAGTCCTGGGCAACATCTTCTAACAAATGAATTGTTGCGATCATCTTTTCGTCCTTAATCTGTGCGAAGTGTTTAATGTCGTTGAGCATGCGTAGGAATTTTGAATAGGTCAAGTCTGTCGTTAATGTATATTCTTCATCGTCCCCGTCTTCAGTCAATTGTCTTCAGTCAATTGTCATTTATAATCTGTCGTTCTATGTCCAGTTTTTCAAGCCAATCAAAGTAAACGGCACCTGTCATCCAAGCTTTGCGATTGGCCGACCAATTGACTGGCAGGTAGATCTTGTCCACTCCCTTAAAACAACTCGGGTTCACTGCTTTACCGATCAAAGTAATCAACACAGTTTTAATCTCACCGATAATTGATTGGTGATTACTTGTTAATCTTTTCTGGCTTCACACCCATTGAGTTTTAATCTCACCGATAATTGGATGCTTCACACCCACCGTTTGAAGTACGGATTATACGGTGTCGATTCAATGGAAATTATGTGACGGGACGGCTGATTGATTTCGGAATCCGGAACATACAGAATTCGGATTTACCAGCAATTTTTTGGCTGAAATAATAAGGCAATAAATCGGGACATGAAAATCATACCGGATGTCACTGCAATCCGGAGTGATCAGAGATCGGATGTGACAGAGTCCACTGTATATATGACCGTCTGAACGGCATATAATCAATATGATAATTTTAGAAATGAATCTATACGGTAGTGTAGTTGCATCTAGAGTCCTTTTATATCCAGACACACAGTGGGTATAGACTGCCGATGTAACAGAGAGAAACTTGTGTAATCTGGTTTTTTTCACAGCCCATGCTTTTAATTTTATCTGACCGTAAAGGACAATACTGGTGCCAGTAATTATCACATATGTGATAGAACTGGTTAAACACGTTCCAAATATTATTTTATCACAGAGATCATTGCTACGATAGATGCGTAATCAATCTTTCAACAATCGGAAGTGACGAACGCAAAAGGAAAACAAGAGTTATCCCTCTATATTACTGACTGAAGTGACGAGTGATAACAGCTAGTTACATAGGCAATATTGTCCTTTAATTACGGGTTTACTTTTCTATGCAATTAGTAAAATGTATACATGTACTATTTCTTTGCTTTGTTTACAGCGACAAGAGCGTCATCTACTTTGTCTAAGACACAAGCTTTATATACCATTGACAAGGAACCGACCACACCACAGTCACCAGATGCATATATCGAGTCTATTATACGCAAGTCTATGTCGAAGACAAATCAACCTACAACCGGCGGACAGAACTATCAAACTCCAGTGGAAACTGTGTATGTTGCTCCTGACCAACCAATTCCACACATAATTGATCGACCCATATACAGCTCACCCAACGCTGACGATGATATTCTCGTAACGAATACTATTGAAACGCAATTAGAACCAAATTATGGTGACCCACAACCAGTAAATCTACAAGTATATGACCCACCCTTTCAAGAACCAACAGACGTACCTACGTATGATTCACCCGCTCACCAACCAGTAGACATACGGACATATGATTCACCCACTCACCAACCAGTAGACATACCGAACTATGATTCACCCATTCACCAACCAGTAGACGTACCGACATATGATTCACCCGTTCACCAACCAGTAGACGTACAGACATATGATTCACCCACTCACCAACCAATAGATTCATATGATTCACCCGCTCACCAACCAGTAGACGTACCGACATATGATTTACCCATTCACCAACCAGTAGACATAGCGACGTATGATTCATCCGCTCACCAACCAGTAGACATACCGACATATGGCTCACCCGCTCACCAACCAATAGACGTGCAAACATATGATTCACCCGCTCACCAACCAGTAAACATACCGACGTATGATTCACCCGTTCACCAACCAGTAGACATACCGACATATGATTCACCAGCTCACCAATCAGTAGACGTGCAGACATATGATTCACTCGCTCACCAACCAGTAAACATACCGACGTATGATTCACCCGCTCACCAACCAGTAGACATACCGACATATGATTCACCCACTCACCAACCAGTAGAAATACTGACATATGATTCACCTGCTCACCAACCAGTAAACATACCGACGTATGATGCACCCGCTCACCAACCAGTAGACATACCGACATATGGCTCACCCGCTCACCAACCAGTTAACGTACCGACATATGGCTCACCCACTCACCAATCAGTAGACGTACAGACGTATGATTCACCCGCTCACCAACCAGTAGACATACCGACATATGATTCACCAGCTCACCAATCAGTAGATGTACATACATATGATTCAACTGTTCAACAACCAGTAGACGTACCGACGTATGATTCACCCGTCCTGCAACCAATAGACGTACAGACATATGGTTCAACCGCTCACCAACCAATAGAGGTACCGAGATATGGTTCACCTGTTCAACAACCAATAGACGTACCGACATATGGTTCACCTGTTCATAATTCACAGACACCCTATTCACATTCTAATGAGATACCAGTAGAATCAGATTGGACAGGTTAGTATACGGTTTTGTTTTTATAAATCTACACTTAAAAGACAAGAAGTTAATTGTTGTCAGGTAGTATTGTTGAATAAACCGGATGCTCTACATGAATCTGTGGACGAAATTCTTCTGACTTACAGTAGGTATCGGGTATAATCAATCTTACTGACACTAAAACAGGTTTCATGTGCTGGTTGTTTCGGTATTATGTGGTGTAAATAGAGAATTTGGCAAGCGGTCCTTTGCTTCGTTTATAATGCAGCTGCCTTATGATACAACCTACATCGACTTCAGAGAAATCCCCCTTAAAGAAAAGTTTCCAGTCTTAGAACAGCTCTCACAAGCACGCACAACAGACTTGGATTTGAAGCAAGAATTATTATTCATTGGCTTTACACAATACAATGTAAAGTTTGAAATCCATCATTTGTGATACGTGGACCTCATAGTTAACAATGTTTGTATTTGTTTATAAACAGATTGTGTATTGGAAGCGATACCAGAGAAACTTTACAGTTATTATCATTCTTTATCTGGTGAAACGATGAACTGTGCTCCTGGTACCATGTTTTCCGAGGCAGCGTGTACATGTATCCAGTCTCCATCTTTCTATGGATTAGCCCACGGAGGAATTAAACCGTCACCTGTGGATTATGTACATCATGTCCCTGATACTGATAACTTCGCTGGTAAGAAATCGCAATTACATGTTTATGTATTTCGTTACGATTGGGAGAAAGGGGGTGGGGGTGGGGGGCAATCTGATTAAAGGCGTAATACCACTCTTGTTGTAACTGAATAATATGTCCCAATCTTTATTCTGGTCAACAAATTGTACTATTTTAGAATATTTCAATTAATTGATGATACAAATTTCATCTTAACACACCTTATTTAAAAATTTTGAAAAATTCAACATAATGGTTTGAAACGTCTAACGTAAACCTTTTCAAATGAAACTTCTATTTAAAAATATTTTCGAACCCTCTGGACAAGTAAAATAGGATGTAATGGATAATTTACACAACATGTAGGACACTTAAACATCTAGTACATAGATAGAGATATTATTTATTTTCTGGAGCTTTCAAGCCAGCAAGAGTGTTATTGTCCCTTTAAAGCACAGATATTATTTCGTTTAGTTTTTTTGTCCCCCGCCTTGGGCTCGTTTCATGCACGGCACGGAACTGTGGGTAAACCACTAGAAACGTCAACGCTGATCGATTAATCAATGTCGTACGTCATAGGGTCAAAAGCCGCCTGTACGACCCCTGACGCGACCGCCGAGTACATGTAGTGTAGGCCATCGAAAGTATAAAAAGAACGAAATGAAATATAGATCTGTATTTTAATCAGGTTGGGGGTGGGGGCATACTCCTGAAATATTTGTACATGATCATCACAGATCACATAATTAGAAAACTTGCAAATGTATTTAACCATTTAGCACATGGATCGCCCAAAATCACTATGAACTACTGTTCATGAGAACAGAAGAGAAAGATCCTGCGATTACTGTCACTTGTGTTCCGTTGGCCGATTCGTTTCTTAGATTTATAGTTCATGAATTTAATGACAAACTTTATAAAAAGTCTAACGACTATGCGGCTGGTAGGCTACTGTATCGTTTTCTCGTAACTTATAAATATATTTCAATTTACATTTTATTTTTTACAGGGTGTTATCTGGAAGCCATTGATAATGACAATACCAAGTATTATAACCGAGAATATAAGAATATCATGCCCTGTGCACCAGGAACTGTCTTCTCACAGAAAACTTGTGGTTGTATACATGGTGTAGAATCGAGGGTTGCTCAACCTCCTTCTAAACTGCCAGGTACGTTCCAGTATTCCACTTTGATAGAATAAATGAGCTATACATGTACTTCAATCGTGTCTAAAACCATAAAGGTGGCAGCTTGAAATCAATACAAAGGAATTGGAACTAAAGGTTCTGTTAGAATTCATAGATTTCAATAATGTTGTACCAGTATGCTTTATGATTATACAACATAATACTATAATCTTTTTTTTTGGGGGGGGGGGGGGGCGAATGGTTAGCACGTGCGTGCTGTATTACACGGCCTGTCACTTTTATGATCTTCAAAAATCAGACTATTATTATCAGTACCAACAGGATTATCGAAGGAAGTTTCAGTATCATTAGTAGTGCTATTACTTGAAAGAGTTACATTAGTGAAACAGTGGAAGTTATCAATCAATGGTTCAATAGAATAATCAAAAATATTAGTGGTGTATCGATAATGGTGCGATGAGTGGTATAGTGTATCTTGATTTTAGCAAAGCATTTGATCTCATTGATCATAAGCTTATTATTGAAAAACTACATCTTTATCGATTTGATAATAATTCACAAATTTTGATTGAATCATATCTTGACTCACGGAAGCAAAATGTATGTTTAGGATCAATTACCTCCTCAATTACTACAGTCAAATGCGGGGTTCCACAAGGTTCGATCCTGGGTCCTCTCCTATTCCTAATTTTTATAAATGATCTCCCACTCAATATTGAATCAAGTCACTCCATGGTGAGAAAATTGAGACGGTTACTACCGCAAAATTACTTGGAATTCAAATTGACCAAGACCTTAATTGGGAAGCACAGATAGCAGATATGTCTAAAAAACTTGCATCAAAAATATTTCTCCTAAATAAGATAAAAGATCATTTACCTTACGAGACAAGAATTTTGTTTTATAACAGTTACATACTACCAATATTTGATTATTGCTCTATTATTTGGGGAAATGCTACCAAAAGTAGATTAGACATTCTTTTAAAACTACAAAAGAGGGCAGCAAGAGCTATTCTTGATGCACCGATTGAAACTCCGTCCACCTCTTTATTTACTCAACTCGGTTGGCTTACCCTTACACAGAGGATTCTTTACAATAAAATTGTCTTATCATTCAAAATTATTACATTTAATACTCCACTTTATCTAAATTTCCATTTTATTGAAAAATCTCTTGTTTCCAAAACGGATATCTTGCTCCGTTCACAGACCAGTAAATCTCTTTTTCTTCAATATTGCAAAACGGAATCCATGAAACGTACTTTTCATTATTCTGCATGTCTTTTATGGAACAATCTGCCTTTTGATATAAAGATGTGTAAAAATGTTGAAAATTTTAAGATTAAACTGAAAACTCATTTATTTTGCACACTGAAGGAACCATAATATTCAACTGATGACATACTTATTATTTTTAACTTGCAACTGCATTCTATTTTATTTTGTGTGTAATTATAGTGTTCTTCCTATATTCTACTTGTATAATGTATATGTTTTGTAGTTTGGGAGTGACTTATCAAACTTCCCACTTTAAAATGCTATTGCATTTCTAATGATTTTAAATTTATCCTGATATTACATGTATATATGTCTTTGTAGTTTAGGAGGGACCTATGGAAGATTATTTTTTTTTTTTTGCAAACTAAATACGTTGCCTCATTAAATAAAGTTTTTATTATTATTATTATTATTATTATTGAGTCAACTGGCGTGGTTTCGAATCCCCGGTTGTACGTGACAACGAGTAGGGTCGCCTGTCCAACCTCGTGGCTTATTTCAATAAGCGAATTATTGAAATAACATGAAACCATATGTTAGTCCCGAAATGACCTAGTTTGTGTCGAGTGGACGTTAAACCCCATTTCTCTCTCTCTCTCTCTCTCTCTCTTTTTTTTTCTTTGCTTTTTAGTCTGGAATATTGTGTCTTTAATATCTTCAGGTTGTAAAGCTGCGTATGATCTGTCATTTAATGAAAATTATTTAAAGAATTCTAACACACAGTTATCAGTGGGTGGTGGGTGGACCATTAAGTTAGATGATGGTAAAGCTCAATTCAAGAAAGATTCCGTGGTACACTTCTGGTCATATCAAGGCAAACCGTACGACAAGACCTTTACCATTCAGATGAAATTCAAAGATTTACCCTCAAGTAAAACGAAACAGAATCTTCTCACTAACTGCGGCACCAACAAGGACTTGAATACACCCTCCATATTAATAGAATTGAACAAGAATAATGAACACAAAACGGAGTGTCATCTTCGTATTGTTCTAGTCACTGGACCAGACTATTCAACATCAGAATTATCTCTACCGGTGAAGGTGAGTCGCTTGCTTTTAGAATGTCCGATATTTCACCACATTAAGCCTATATTAGAGGCATATTTTTCCCATTTTTCAGGGTTAAATGAAATAATAGTATTGTTTGTTGACACTAGTGGATTTTCTCCATCTTTTTTAATATAGAAAAGAAACAAAGCAGCGAGGAATACTCCTATTTTGCGGTCGGGGAGTCTTTTCGAGTTGTTAGTTTCGGATGCTAGACAAACCTAGTCGCTAAATGAAAGGGGGAGGGTCAGGGGCTCGATTTGTCGGATATGACATCTACGACGTTCCATTATGGGCTTCATAACCTCGGCACCCCGCACCTTTCTAACGTTTTAATACAATTAACTATAACAGATATAAAACAAATGCTTGCCTTAGATTGTATAATTTTATTTAATTATACATGAATTACAATAGCTACCTCCACCCCTATTTAATTTCAAATTGTTTAAGCACATTTTGTAATTGGATCAGACGTGACCATTATTACACATGATGTTTATGGTTTTCAGTCTGGGGAATACAATACGTTAACGGTAAACTATTACAGAGGACATTTACAAGCCACTATTGTTTATCCGGATGGAGAAGTAATTTCTGAAGAGATGGAATGTTCGGGTATGTTATGATCAACTTAATTCCCTCCGACCCTCCGTTATCAATATAATAATTGTTGCCAAATTGTTGCCCTTATCAAAAATGAAATGAAATGGAGTTTTATATGTTACCACGCCATTGCAGGAGACGGAAAGGGAACGTCCACAATATAAATTTTTGTAATCAGTTTACATAGTTTGGATCGAGAAGAGTAGTAATAAGCTTACATCAGCCCAGATCAATGCTAATACTCTTTTTATAACTAAAAACAATGAGTTTATTTTCCATTTCAGGTTCAATATTAACCAGTGCCTATGATTTAAGATTGGGATCATGTGATCAAAAAAATAATGGTTTTATTGGCATGATGGATTGGGTAAGTAAACAAAATAGAAATATTATTGCATTTATACCAAATTGGTGGCTAAATCCACATAGCCTGTTGCTGTATCAGTGCCGAACCACGCCCCCATCCATTCCGTATAGCTGCCGGTCACTTCTGGCTGCAGTCGTGGTATTGATTCCTGCATGGTGTAAGCGTATGTGGGTTATCTCGGGGTACTCCGGTTTCCTCCCACATCAATTATCTCTGCGCATGCGTTGAATTATCAGTGGAAGTGGATGTTAAATCCCCAATTAACAACACAACAACCACACGATTCCCAATTAGGAATGTTTTAGCTTGACTACAGGAAACGGGGTTTTCCCTCATCTACATAATACTATACAATAGGCCATTTTTGTGTAGGTTTAAAAGACATAAAGTATAAAAAGGATATTATTGTATTCAAACACATAAAATTATTATTAATGGGTTTAATATATTAATTTCAATGTAATATTAGAACACTCTGAAATGGGCTTGATAAGATAGATTATTCTTCTTCTTTTTTCAGTTTAAATATTATCCATGTTCTGTATAAAACCAAGTACCAATTCATAAAGTCAAGTTCAAGTTGGTTTCCTTTGGTGAAATGTGTGCAATATCCACGGGCGTTTTGCTACAGACACGCTTTTCGTACATAAACGACAGTCGTACACCGAAAATCTCTAAAAAAAAATGCTTAAAACCTTTTATAAGACATCGCTGATCATGCCTGACCGAATCCTTATTTATATCTGCGTATGCCTAAAGCTGAATTAGGACTTAAAGGAGAACAAAGAAGTCTCCTAATACCCCACTGTGTAGGAATCATTATATCCAGCTATAACAAGGGGTAATTCCAAAGAACAAATTCGAGAGATTTAAGTTTGGTACCAATGATGAAAGATGTGGTAGTATTGATAACGTCACTATAACGCATTCTTTAATTAAGGGTAGCGCTTGGAAAGGGCCACCTATAATATTTCTACATGTTGATCCCAGTAGCTGTCATTCTCCTTTAAAATTTCAACTTAAGTTTTTAACACGACCGATTGGAACCCTGCCACGAATATAACGGTTTTAACAGTGTGTGTGTGTGTATGGCTGAAACAGTTAGCAATCCTGCTTGAGCAGTAAAGACGGCTTGCAAACAAATACTTTTTTCTATGTGTAAACAATTAAAACTAAACTGTTTTAGTGCCGTTTCCAAAATTAACATATGGTTTTTTTTGGGTTTTTTTTGTTATAACGGCGGCCTAAATCAGTGAAGACGGAGTTCAAATTCAAATACACATATTTTTATGCTTTTGCATGCGAGACCAAATGTTGGAAGAATGGAAAATAAATTATAATTTGTTTAGCTTATTTGTAACATCTTGTGTACGTTTTATGTAATAATTATTTTTAACAATAAACTTGTTTAACATTCACTCAACAGAACTTGGTCATTCCGGGACTAACATAAACCCAGTTTACAAATTTTAAGCGTACCAGGCACGGTACCAGGTACGGCACGCTTCGCTTTTTTGTAGTGTAAACGGGTCAAACGTAAGAGTGTCGCGCCTGGTACGGTGTCATTCTGGCCCAATGAAGTGAGGTGGTCTCGGAACGGTACCAGGACCGGCTCGCTTTAAATTTTCGTAGTGTAAACGCTAACCCGTCTGAGCACGGATTACTGCGCATGCGCTAAATGAACCTTGACCCTTTTCCCCGCAAACTTTGACAGCTCTGTCATCAGTTCTGTCAAAATGGCTGCTCAAACTAAATCAACCATCATATACTATTCAAAAAAAGTAGGGGATATTTGATTTTGGGGGCATAATACTAAAATATGCAAATGACTACGAAAAAAGTCACTATAGAACCTAACAGAAGAAACATTTCCAGTTACATGTGACGCCCAAACGCACCAATAGCTACCGCATGGAATGCAGGTGATGCTTGGGATCATCATGGGGGTCCAACCCAAGATTTGCACGACTCTGACTTTGAATGTTACAGTCATTGTGGCATTGAATTCCAGGGTGGAAACATCAGTTTAATTGTTTTAGTGACCAGAAAACAAATTTTGATATGCGTCGGCTTACCCAAAATGAAAGGTTACGTGCCCTTGGCATGCTACAGATCGGCACAACACAGGCGGTTGTGGCGCGGACGATGAATGTTTCTCAGTCTGTCATAAGCAGGCTATGGTCCAGATACCGTGATACACAATCTGTACAGGACAGACCACGCTCAGGTCGACCAAGGGCGACAACTCAAGCCCAGGATCGATTTATCCGTACCTTGGCCTTGAGAAATCGTGTCATCACAGCAAATCAGATCAGCGCTCGTCTTCAAACAGACACTGGTGTGAGAGTGAGTGGCCAGACGATTCGGAATCGACTGCATAGGGGTCACCTTCGCGCCCGACGTCCTCGCGTGATCCCTTGTTTGAGAGATCATCACATTCAGGCAAGACGTCGTTGGTGTAGGGATCGTCAACACTGGGATAATCGACGCTGGAGCAATGTGATGTTTTCAGATGAGTCAAGGTTCACTGTTGATTTTTTGGACAGACGTAGCAGGGTGTGGCGTCGTCGAAACGAGCGCTTCCAAGACGTTAACGTCATCAGACATGATCGATTTGGGGGTGGTTCTGTTATGGTGTGGGGAGGCATCACTGTTGCTGGAAGAACGGCTTTACATGTTGTTGCAGGGCGTGTTACAGGCCAGTACTACCGGGACAACATCTTGGCAGTCCATGTTGTGCCGTTCGCACGACGTCATGGCCGCCGTTTCATCTTCCAGGATGACAACGCAAGATGCCACAGGGCCAGGATCGTTACAGGTTACCTCCAACAACAGAACATCACCACATTACCTTGGCCAGCACTGAGTCCCGACCTCTCCCCCATCGAGCATGTCTGGGACATGCTTGGACAGAGGTTACGTCAACGTCAACAACGTCCTGCCAATGTCCAAGAACTTGCTGCTGCGTTGCAACAGGAATGGGACAATCTGGACCAAAATGACCATAGACGTCTCATTAGGAGTATGCCACGTCGGATCAATGCTTGTTTGGCAAACAGAGGAGGATTTACCCGTTACTGACTTGGTTGTGATGCTGTGGTAACTTTGCTGTTTGACCCCGGGTATCATTTTACCCTTATAATGGTCAGTCTGTGCCTTACTTAGTCTAGCGATCATTTGGAATAAATCGATGAATGTGAACTTCATTTCATTTTGTCATTTGTTTCTTCGTCAGTTTCATTAGGTGACTTTAATAACACTTAAAAATCAAATATCCCCTACTTTTTTTGAATAGTATAATTGTTTTCATCTGCGTAATTTGTATAGGGACTTAAATTAACCTTTCTGTGAACTGTTCCACATTTAGCGTGCTTGGCATGGTTCTGAGACCGGTTTTTTTAGAGTAATGTAAACAGGTCAATTTCTTGAAATTTATCGCGGCCTGGTGCCGTGCCCAGAACGGCACGCTTATCGCGGCCAAGTGTAAACGGGGCTATTATAATGGTAAAATTTCGTCTCATCCGAAAGACTGGATGTCCGCTGTTCTTTAATCGGCTTTACATCCTGCACCACTGACAAGGTTCAGTTCTAAAACACAATCCTGTTCCCGTGAGAAGTATCCTGTGGACACAATTGACCAAGGGCCCTATAACGGAAAAAATGTCACAGATGATCTCAATCATCTGAAATGGGATCCTTGTGTGATTTAAAACAGACAATTTGGCACTACTGTTGAATTTTGTACAAGGTTATTCAATCAACGGTAACAAGGGATGTATTATAAACTATACACAGAGGGAAAGCCAAGCCCAAAGGACAGACAAATAATCATGGAAATGAAATGGGGTTTAATATCCTACTCTCTCGGCCAATACCGAGGTTGAACATGAGGCCCTTACTCGAAAACTAGAGCAACTATGGAAAATGGCTGCTGGACTAATAATATACTGGTAGTACATTTTTCTAGAGACATAAGTCATTCCCATAGTAACATCTCGATCGTAACAACACCGAGGGTTGAAAAATCAGATCCATAGAGAGTCAGACATAAGAACAATTAAATTGATGAAATATGATTTTATTTACATAATATAATATATTTAATGATCAACAATGGTATTATACTACAGTAGGTTTCTATAGTTACCGTATCCAATATATAATACAAATAATTTAAGAATTGTGGTTTAACAGTCGATATCAAGACCTTTAAACAACTTAAAGATGCATTATGTAAGATTTTGATAAAGAGCTGACCATTCTTGCTATAATAGTTTAAAATATAGATAATGGAAAATGAATATATTGAAACAATGACAAACAAGTCTATGCTATTCTTGTCAAAACTTTAAACATTCAAAACTTCACTCAGAAAAGAGTAAAGTTTTGACAAGAATAGCATAGACTTGTTTGTCATTGTTACAATAAAAAACAAAGTCTCTATTTTCAATTTTAACCGTAACTGATTAAATGGCATGGATGGTCTAATCCACTTAATATCATATTCATCTGATGACATAGAGACTTGATAATGAGCTTGTTGTGTGAATAATTCTTATATAACATTAGAAGCTTAAAAATAGGACTTGCAATAGGAAGATTTAGCTCTTACATAATGCATCTTAAAAATACAGATACACTTCTGCACATGAATTTCTACGAAATCATCATATGAGTCCAATATTTTCTGTCATCTTATATAAATAATGCATGTTAGCCCAGTGTCCAAACCATTTGTTTCATACAATTATTTGAAATAATGCTACATTAACATCAAAAGATGACTCAACATGATCTGTATTTTACGTAACAATAATAGACAACATCTATTGAGGACAAATCTAACAATAAATATATTTATCTTTGGTCATGATAGGGCTAACTTATTTTTACAGTAAATTTAAATTAAATAGACTGTCATCTAGTAGAGAAATGTGAAAACCATAATTTTAGCTTTAGATTATTCCAAAATTGGCCTTAGAATGATTGTGTTTTCATTAATTATACTGACAAGAAAGAAAGTTCATACAATTTTTCTTCTTTCAAAAATTCACCCCCAGAAATAAAAATAAATCATTTGCCACCCTACCGGTATCCATAACATGATCTACTGTATGGTTTAAAGTCTCTGATCCTTATCTAAGGAATTTTCAATCCCTTGCAAACTACAATATCATGAAGTTGAACTCTAGAAGGGAATTGTAATCAGTCCAAAAATGGTTCAATTCCAGTCAGTATTTATAAAGATATGTTGAATTTAAATCCAGTCAACAATTTGCATCTCAGAAGACTGTAGACAATATAAACCGGATAGGGTCAAAACAAGCTAGCTAAAAACTATTATGGTGCCTTTTTTTTAATCCTCTATTATCTACCATTGATATTTTATTTTAGGTTTCTTAATTAAGTGTTAAATAATCAATTTAAGAGCATTATTCAGGGTGCATTAAGCCCTAAAAATTAAGAGATTGTCAGAAAAATAGGGATGAAGATCAGAGACTTTTAAGTAGCTTATAAAGACATGATTAAATGAAATAGCTGGTACTTGACATCTGAAAATATCATATCTGTATATTCGTTTCTTAAAGACTAAACACAGAATAAGTATAGCAAAATAAAGGAAAAATGATGGATGGGGTGGGGTTAGATAATAATATATAAAACAGAGCCATACAGTGTGTTTATTAAACACTTGAAAATCAATTAAACATTTGTACCCAGCTTCAACAATAATATGCATGTCCCATCAATGGATTGAAGGAATTGTCTCAAATTTTACATCCTACCTAATTTGAACATCCTTGATGTAACTTTCTGGTAAATTACATTAATCTGATAAAAGTTTCCAAAGAGCTAATGTTTCAACAGCATTCTACATACTGCTGTAGTGTACAACATGTTATTTATGCCTTAAAGGTTTAAGTTTTTAAAATACAAATTCTGCTTCAGGGAACAGTATAATTGGTTCTGAATTGTCAATATTTCCACTGACTTAAGTATGAATAATTATGAACACAATTTATAAAATATAGTAGTTGGTTCTAAACGGCAATCGAAATCAAAATCAGAAAATCAATAAAGACAAAACAAAGACCTAGATTCTTAGTGTTCCTTTAAAACTTAATGAAGATGCATACATTTAAATAAGTTATTGTAGCCAGCACAATAAAATCTTAAGCAAATATAATATATAAAGATAATATAAAACACATATTGTACACATTACCCCAACCATAAATCCCCCATAATAAATAATAATTACATGAACTACACTAATCCAAACAAAATATTTTTTTTCTCTTTATTTAATCAGATGTTGTCTGACTAATGTAATCAAATATAATATA